TTTCTAAGCTCAATCAACAAATATCCAAATTATGAGCTATGGGTAAATTGAAGAAACATCTCGAAGCTTTAAGATATACCATTTTGGTTTCTTAGATTGTTGGCCATTCTCTTGGCGGAGCCATGGCTGCGCTCGCTGCTTCATATATTGAAAAAATAAAGTTATTTGATGGAAACAACATCAAGGTGGTAACTTTTGGCCAACCAAGAACTGGAGATAGGGCGTTCGCTGATGCTCACGGGAAGCAGGTAGTTAGATTCAGGTAAATATTCATAATCCCGAAAAATTGAGCTTTATTGATTTTAGTTACCTTATACCTTCCGAGTCACTCATGATCATGACATCATACCACATCTTCCAGTCAAAGGACAGAAGCAATATTACCATCATAAATCTGAGGTAGGTAGGGCTGCGTAACTCCGCTGTTCTTCCTTTTTTCCTAAATTCTAACTTTGGCTGATTTTCTATTGAACTACAGTAATTTATATTCAAGGCATATTACAACAATGACATGACTACAGCGGACTACATTGAATGTGACGATGAGGAAAGTCTGGCATGCAGTGATCGCTACATTGATGCATCCTGGAACGATCATCACCGCTATTTTAACGTTTACATTTCCCGCTGGGGAGAAGCTGGATGTGTTGGCGATCCAGCGAACCCTACTGGAGTTCCCTGAAGTAATGAATAGATTGCGAGAAAAAGCTGGTATAGAAAAATCTCAAGAATAAAGTTAAACCTAAATAAATGGTCAACGCTAACTCCAGAAACTCTTAAAATTAGAATTATTGTCTAAAAATGTTTCTGGAAGACCTAGATCAAAATAGTTGACGCCTTCACAAATCAAGCAGATCGATGATCCAACACATTGTTTTTTTTTTAAAGAATAATCCAAAAGTAAAAAGTTTTGTTTATTTTTATGCCCGTATACATAATCATTGCGTGTTGGAGCATAAACAACTCAATAGCATCATCATTTACAGTAGACTTCTTTAGATGAAAGACAACAGGAACAACATGAATATGTGCATGGAACGACTCATTTCAGGCTCTTGTGGGTGTGTAGCAATCTGCTAAAAAATCGTAGATAAGCAGATATTTAGACTTATCACAATACCGAGAGGAATCTGCTAATAGCTTGGAATACTCTCAAATAAGCAGAGAAAGAGTACACGTTAGTTTAAGGACTAGAGAAATGAGATCAGTATTGCTGAGATCGTAAAGTGAGATCAGGACTCGAAGTACGATAACCCACATGTGTCAAGCTTATCAGAAATAGATTTGCACCCACAAAAATTTTTAGGTAAATAAACAAGCCTTTGATTTTGTTTTTAAATGATTTAATAGTTAGAGATGAGCTTATGGGGATTCATGAGTCGACTTGGTTTGATTCCACTAAACATTCGAGGTCTTTCGATGGATCTTCGACGTCCTTTACTCGCTCCATTACTTTTCGCCGATCTTGAATCTGCAGATTGAGCACGCTCTAAAAAAGAGTCTTTATTGAAATAAATTCATTGTTCTTAAGCAAATTCTAAAATCTCACAGAAAACCTACGAGAGCGCATAAAAAAGGTAAAAGATCATAACGAAGAGTGTCTAGATATTCATGTTCATGAAGCATAAACGTTCATTCTGGCTAACTTCACGCCTCAATGCTTCCTTTTGCCCAATGTGAAAAGTGAAAGGAGGCAGAAACATATTAATGGCCAATTTAGAATGAAAAAGGATATCTCGTTGCGCTTAAACTCCAAACTAATCTATTAATGAGGTCTTCTATATAAGGTCAAAACTTCCCTTTTCAAATTTTTTCCAAAAGTAAATTGATTAATGTGAATATAAAATGCTTATATTATTGGTTGATCACCCTTGCAAACTGGGTAAATATTTTACTAAAAACACAGATTTTAATCTGGAAAAGAAATGTTCTTAATTTCCTTCAAAAAAAGGCTTAATAGGTAGGAAAGAAGATTTGTATGGCACTTAATTCTATAAATCTTTCTGATAAATTATTTGCATCTTTTCCTTTACTGCTTGATAAAGACTTTGTGGTTTAATAGCGGCTTATACTGTAGAAAACCTATCACTGTAAATACAATATCTACTCGACTCGAATGATTCGTTTTTGAACTCCATAACAATTTGGGAATGGAATTTAGGGTATAAGCAAAAATTAAGTGGTGATATTTGATTTACTCCTGTCATAAATCGTAAAAAAATAGCGCAAATGAAGTAAATCAATGCCCATTTAAACTCACCCCTTAAGGTGCTTCCGCTATGCAAACTGCCATTTTTCTCCACACTTGCCGCTCTGGCTAAGCTCCTTGCTGTATCGTAATCGGTATCGCTACACTCTGCTTGAGCTATCGGAGCGCCTCCACCTCCACCGGAAGAGCTGCGACCGTTAGCTTTTATCACTTCGCGTGCTGGCGTAGATGGTTTCACTATCGCAGTTGTTTGTGGTCGTTCCACCTGCAAATAGATAGGGGATATTTGGAAAGTTTCAAGGGAAAACAAAAAACCTACAATTTTGATTTTTTCATGTTGTATTCGTTTAACGTGTGTCTTTTTCTGATTCATCATTTCGTATAATTTATTACGATAATCATCAATGGATAGCTGAATGTGATCCGGTAGTGGAAGATTTACCTGGAAATAGTTTGAAAAAAGATT